GATGGACAGATTATAAATATGGCGCGAACACTCTAAAGACATCCAAAGTCGTTACTATTCAATGAATATTTGGAAAAATCTTAAAAAAAAATCAATAACTTGCTGGTTCTATGATATTTCACGTGTATAATTAAAAAATAGCAATTATTATTATTATTTTTACAAGGTCTAATTTCAAAAATAAATAAATAAAAATAAAACGATACATATTTCTCTAAATAATTATTGGTTAATTCGGATAGCAAGGGCGAAAATTTTTGATGGGGCTTTGGAGATTATTAAAATAAAATGACAATGAAATCAGTTATATTTAAATTTATATATTTTTCGATCATAGGATTATAAGAATATAATTTTTATTAATTAAAAAAAAAAAAAAATTAATGATTTATAGGCGGGTTCATAACGGTTTCATAGGCATAATATGCATAATAATAAAACAAGAAATTTTCCCATAAATAAAAATTTTTTTTCATTGCTCAGGGTTCCATATCATTCATCGATACCTTAATTCACAGACAATCCAATCAATCAACTAATCAATAATTAAGATCAATACGACTTTTCATGAGCAACTTATAACTAAAAGAAAAACAATTGGCCAATCAAATTCAATCATACAATTCGATTTTACTTCGTGCAATCACTTAAATGATCTTAAATGAAATGATTGGATTAAATTTATGAATTCTTATCATCTAATTTTAATAGTCACCAAATCAAAAAAAAATCCCATATGTAAACCGTCAACAATTTAATGATCAGATAATTTATCTTAATTAAATATTTACTACGGTTATATTCGGATAACAGATGACCAAATCTACCCAATAGTGATAACAGTGATTTGAAACCCATAAAATTCCGTTATAACGTTGAAAGGGGGATGAGAGTCACACAAGATGATAACTAACAACTAATCACACCGCCAATCCTGCTAAATATGCTAAATACGATCTACTCTAAACTTAAAAGTCGTCGATTGAGTAATTAGGGTTGGTTCCAGAATTTTACTATTAGGATTTCGAAGTTTTGGAACTCAATTCTTTTTATTGTAGATCCTAGATATTTTAACGAATAGGTAAATTACGAAAGTTCCTAGGGATTTTTAAGACTTTCAGGATCATTCCGTTGTACTTCCGGCGTGGAAAATTACGTAAGATTCCACGTGGTACATAAATATGTAATGATAGCAGAAATTTAACGTTAATATTTCGTTTTTATAAACAGCATTATAATGGACTTTGTATCACTTTGAATAGAAATTCCGCTACATCCTAGATAATTAACCTTTTATATTTTTATTGATCTTAATTGAATAATATAATAAAATAAATTTTAAGCCTAAAATTACTTGCATAAAATACAGCCTAACCGCATTAACATATTATAAAGCCAACTTCTCGATTTAAATTTGTTGTAGTTGTTGAGACAGAAAAGCGCTATTCCCATATTCTTTAAATAAATTTATCTCGAGCGAAAATAATGTTTATATACTGATCTGTGATCATAATCATATGAGATTAACCAATTACATTTAAGTTCTTTCTGTGGTACAATGTTACGGCGGAAGTCAAATTTTTATTAAATGTATATTAGCCTAAAATACAGTATGATACGATACAAAGAGGATTTCTGGCTATTAATAACATTATATCCAAATATATTAATAGCAGTGTTTCGGGCGAAATTATTTTTGAGTTTCGCCCTATAAGTCCGAAATTAATTTCGCCCAATTTTGATATGCAAAATTGAATTTCGCCCGAAACACTAATTAATAGTCTCGATAATTTAAAATTTAAGAGCCAAGGTTGAACTTCGTATACATATGTGTTCATTATATCTAGGCTATTGTAATTAATCTAAACAACAAATTGAACAACAAATAGTATTCTAACTAAATAAGTTACAGAAGTTACAGGCTGAAGTAATTTTATAATTAACCATTTGTCTGTAACACCCGTGCTCGAATACATGACTTCCTGCCATTACTTCATCAATAAAATCTTTTATAATTTGTATTGCAGACATATCTAAAGGTTCAGGTCGGTTGCCAAAAGTTCAATGAATAATTATATCGAAAGGATGCGAAACTAAAATATTTGACTTTAAAACGAAGAAATTTAAATTTGCAGGAGCTTCTATTTCTGTATTTGTCTTTAACATGGCACGAAGCCATCATTACTTGTATGCCCGAATCCACGACTTCCAGCCATAATTTTGTTAATAAAATCTTTTATAATTTGTATTGCAGACATATACAAAAGTTCAAATCGGTTGGCACCAAAAAGTTCCATGCACAATTGGCTCGTAAGACTCAGTATACAAATCTGAAGCTTCGTCTTTTTTATTTTTTATATTCTATAATAGTCGATAAAAATCAGTTCGTGTTTAATCAGTGTTAGATATGATTGCGATTAGAAACGCGATTATGAAGCCTGAAAAGTTTATCTTACATGAGATTCCGTCAAAACCATCAACCTATTGACCGATCCTTATTGACTGATTCCTTATGTAGTTCATTCATTGAATTTCCTCTTTTTAGAACTCAGAAATATTCAAACGAAGTAAGTTTATTGACTGACCATGGTAGTTGAGATCAAAAAAAAAAATAGCTTTTTAGAAAATCGTAAAAGAAATTATCAGTTAAAATTCTACATGTAACTTATAAAAATTAGAATTAATTATTGATTATTTATATATTGTAGCATATGACAATTAGCATCACATGGTGTCACTAGTTGCCATCGTCTATGTTTTATTGTAAATATTTTCATATTTAAAATAAATTTAGGGAATTGTTATTCATACCTCCTATTTTTGTTATTCATACCCCCATGTAAAAATATGCATCTGATCACGTGACCCAATATTTGAAATAAAAATCCGATTGGATATTAATTTGAACATGTGATCAGTGCTAAATTTTATTATCATGTGACATACACTATTAATATACAACAACGCGAAGTTAAACAAACATCCTCTAAAAGTTTTCTTATCCGTTTTAATTATTTAACAGTATTATTTGTCACAGATCATAACGAAATTGAATTAAAATAAAAGGAGAGTTTCCATTTAGCTCTCTAAAACCTACTTATGCTTGTTTATTATAAACTCTACTCTAAAACTAACCTTTAACTCTAACCCTAACTTTAAAAAATACGCTTTAAAAATTTTTATATTTCGATGGTTTGTCTATTTTTTACATTGTACAATATTTCATTTTGATCCAATTTCATTTTAATCCATCACATTATTTAATTCAGTTAGCATTAAAATTGTTCTAGTCTATGATTAACATAATTTGACCCAACACTAAAAAATTTTTATACTATTAAATGGTTCTAATTTCTGCTACTAGCAATACATAGCAAATATTTGCCTCATTTCTAAATTCTTAGTCTTCCCGATTATCTTGTATAATAGAAGACAATAGAATTATATATTTTTTATTAATACCAAAAGTACTTTAATCTGTATAAATAAGCTATTCAAACAATAGATTTACATTAGCAAATTATACTATATAATGTCTATAAATATTATACCTACATGACGATAATAGCTTTGCCGGCTAATAATGACTAAACTAGCAGTAGTTGGCCAAAGATTTTTTTAAAAACTGATTAATTGATATATCGAAATTGTTTGGATATAACTGTGTAATACTAATTACAAGATTAAAGTATGATACTGTATTAAACAACTAGTCGATTAGCAACTAATTGATTAACTAACTAATCGATTAATCAGTTAATCAATTAACCATTCGATAATAGATTAGTTGTCTAATAAAATTATCAATCATTATTTGACAACTCGATTAACTAATTGATTAATCGATTTCGATTTAGATCACTATGTCTATCAAATAAATATCTATATATATCTGAAACCTTAAAATTAAACAGCATAATTGACATTATAGAAGGCGCAACAATGCCTTTCCTAAAAAGCCCAATGTTAGTTAATATCAAAAGTATCACACATAATCATGAATATACAGTGCTGTGATATAAATATCTCCACTATAAAAAGATAATGAATATGTATTAGTAATAATGGGAATAAGAATAAGCGACATGAATAAATGGGTTTATAAAGGACGGAATAAAACAAAAGTAGCCTAATATATCTAGTAGAATAAACAAGAGAAAATGAAACCAAGATAAACTAGTAGACAGGTAAAAATAAACGTAACCAGAAATTGCATATGCATGTATGCATTTTCCTCTAAATCAAATGAATGTGAATAGTGCATGTACCAAATCGGGCATAAATCAAAAAAGGTTTCAGAATGGCAAGATAAAGGACAATCAGGTAATAGAAATTAGGGAGAAAAACCTATAGATAAAATGAAACTATTAGTAAAGTATTAGAGAAAGTGACAATATAAAAAGACAAGAAAAATGCATAATATACTAACCTTCTGAGCATGTTCATAAAAAATTATGTACTTAAAGGCAAAAAATTATAAAAATATATTTGATCTCTTTTACTAATAAAATAACGGTTAATAGTAGAAACAGAATAAGTAAAATATACTTCCCTTACTAACAATTCTGCTCAAAGCTCTGTTCACGAATTTGAACAAAAATAAAACTATATTATTATAAATTTTTATAACTATGTTTCCTCTATTTGGGAGTGCTGATGAACTTTATCAATATGCTCAAAGTTTCGCAAATTCATGTGGCTTTGTGTTGGTTAAGAAACGAACTTGTAAAGATCATCGTGGTAGATTGAAAAATATGGAATTGCGCTGTGATTAAGGTGGCATTTATATTAATTCCTTAAACCTCACTGAAGAAACATGCCGTAGACAAACAAGCACTAGGTTAATTGATTGTGCTTATGAAATGATCGATACTCGACGAAATAACTCATAGTATATAGAAATTCGGGATGAAAGACATAATCATGAATTGTCCGAAAACATGTTAGGATACCCAGTTGCCCGTCAACTCACTGAGCACTAGCTAGAAAGTGTTGTGGCAATGACTATTGCCAGATCACGGCCTCAAGAGATTATGTCAGCTCTTCTCCAAAACAATCTATCAATGCCCATTATTAATAGAGACATCTATAATATACGTGAACAACTACGCCAACAAAATCTAGCAGGCCGTACCCCAATTCAAGCACTCATCAATGAACTTAAGGAAGAAGATTACATATATGAGTATGAATGTGACAGTGCTGGTTGTGTTGTTTACCTTTTTTTTGCGCATAAGGAATCTGTCAATTTTACTTGTCAATATTCCTCTGTCCTCCTCATGGATTGTACTTATAGAACTAACAAATTCAAAATGCCCTTGCTGAATGTCGTCGGTATTACCAGCCTTAATACTACATTTTATTCATGCTTTGTTTTTATGAAAAGTGAAGATGAGGAAGACTATATGTGGGCTCTAACTCATATTATTCATTTGTTCGAAGGGATATCAAAACCTGGTATCATTGTTACTGATAGAGAGTTGTCACTTATGAATGCTTTTAAGGTAGTTTTTCCAAGTTCAACAAATTTATTATGCTTATGGCATATTAATAAAAACATTCTAAAAAATTGTAAGCCAAAATTCCCAAAAGAAACTGAAGATGGGTCAAGTAGTGAATGGAATACCTTTCTTGCAAAATGGAATGAAGTTGTTAATTCTGAAACCGAAGACGAATTTAATAAAGTATGGCAAACATTTCGTTCTACTTATACTAATAAGCCTTGCATTATAAATTACCTTGAGAAGACTTGGTTGCCATAGAAGAAAAATTTTATAAAAGCATGAACAAATTCATTTCTTTATCTGGGAACAACGGTAACTTCCCATATAGAAGGTGCATACGCAAATCTCAAAAAATATTTATAAACATCTGCAGGAAACCTCCATTAGGTTCATATGAAAATTTCTCTGGTAGTGGTTAACCAAAAAAATGAAATCGATTCTATGGTTGCAGCAAAGCGTATTCATTTTCCAGTTTTTGCACATAACAACCAATTTTATGCAAATGTTAGAGGTAAAGTTTCAAGCTTTGCCCTTAAAAAAATAAATGAGGAGTATAAAAAGGTATCTCGTGCAACTGTGCAGAATCCCCTACCACCATGTTCAGGTTCTTTTTCAAGAACAATGGGATTACCTTGTACCCATCATATTCAACATTTAGAAAACAGTCAGGGCTTAATACTTGAAGATATTCATATGCATTGGTGGATTCAAGGGTGACTACCAATACCACAACTTGAAAAAAATGGTAATATACTTCAACTGCTTTTACAAAATCTAGAACAAAGGTATAATGAATAGCCAGAACATCAACAGGCTGTAGCACAAGAGACATTAAATGACATGATCAACTCCTCATCAATGGCCTTGCAGAACTCCAATGTCGTACGTACTAAGGGACATCCTACTGGCGCTACTAATAATCAATCATCCAACTCAACTAGAAGAAATCTTTCTGGATTTGAGTTGGTAGAACAGAATATAAGGCAATGCTCTCTATGCCGACAGCCTGGACATAATGCCCGTACTTGTCTAAATAGGAGTAATACGAATCAAATAGATTAGTTCTTTTCCTTCATTCCTAATAATGTATGTATAAATTATCATTAGTGGATTTACATTAAATGAAAGGATTGGAACATTCAATTATAGAAATATCCCTTTAACATAATGCCTTATCATTTTTTTCTTGGTACAGTACCCACTTCTATGATAATACCCTATATATATACTTTAGTATTATCGTTATAACCAAGTATAGTTATATATACAGTATAATTAGAATGCTCTGAGATTTTTACTTCACAAAATACGATATGACTGCTACCTTGTTTAATCAATAAAGCTTAATACGAATGTTGAAAAGCTAAAAATAAATATTCATGACTTGATTAATTTATTTTACGCAGATTTAAAAATATCTGATGCTACTAAACTAACGTGAAAGTACCAATAATCCAATATATAATAACAGCACTTGCTGCTTTGCTCTGGTTTCTTAATATTCGTATCTAGCGCGATAGCTAGTAAAAAAATTTGAGCTGTTAAAATGAAGCATATATAATAATTTTAATAGTATATTACTATTAAGTTCTCTAATTAATGAAAAAGGATGACTTAAAATACATATATTCGGCTGTTGTAAAATTGCGAATACATATTCTACTCGTAAAAGGCCTAAATATAGTATGAAAGTAAATTTTTATTCGTCATTTGTAGAAGTTTATATAAAGTCTCTGATTTGTACTACATTATCACATAATCAATCACGTGAATATAATCACCCAATCACATTTAGCATATTAAATAGTGAGTCACGTGATCAGATGCATATTTTTACATGGGGGGTATGAATAACAAAAATAGGGGGTATGAATAACAATTCCCTAAATTTATTCAAAAAAAATTAATTTGTAAGATAAAAATTTACATTCTTTATTTATATTCTTTACTTTAAAACAAATTAAAAAGTTTCTATACAACAATTAAAAGGGCTCTTTATCAATCATTTCTTCATTTACCATTTGATTCATATGAACAATTTGACTTTACCACCATTGTCTTTTCTCTACATCATCTTTATTTGCTTCATCTTCTTCATCTTCGTTGTCATATTCATCAAAATTCTTTTCAATAAATAATATCAATTTATTATTTTTTCTTTCAAGCTTATAGTTTTCAGTAACAAGCTTCATAATATCGTCTTCTTTAGTTTTAAGATATTCTTTTTGAGATTTATTTTCTTTCCTTAAAGTCTCTAATTCAGTATATTCAATTTCTAACTAAAAATTAAACAAACAGTCAAAAAATCTTATTTAAATGTTTATTAAATTAATTTTCTTTAATATTCTTTAATATTTGATATTTACATTGTTACTTAAGATCCAATTATTACCAACACTCTTCTGATATTTGACCTGCAAGCTACTTAGTTGCTCTGCTGTCGACCCACGTAATAACAATTTTGATCTTAATTTCCTATTTTCGGTTTCTAAATCAATAATTTTTGTTCTAAGATTTGCTATTGATTGATGTTCATCATTACGTTCAAAACAAACTTTTTCACATTTTTGGTTAAGTCTTTTGCTTTTTTCTTCTTCAAATAGTTTGTTTTCTAACTCATCATAACGACAGTTTTCTGTATAGTAAAGCTACAAATATAAAATATAAATATAAATTTAATCAAATAGAACCTGTCATTAACTTATGTTGTATAATAAGTAATAAAATTACTTGTTCTAGTTTCTCAATCTTTATGTTTTTTGATTCAACTTCGATTTTCATTCGGTTTACTTGATTATTCAAATCCTCATTATCTAGTTCCATTTGTTTAACATTATTTGTCAATTTAGTTATTTCATTTTCAAACTCGGTAATTTTATCTTAATTGGTGCTAAGTTGATCCTTAAGAGATGTAATTTCGTTTTCTAATCTAATTAAAAATATTAATATTAAAAAAAATATATTGAAATAAAATCAAGTTGTAATATAAAAAATATTTTGCCTTCTAATTTTTTCATCGTATTCATTTTTTTCAACTTCAAATGCTTGCTTTAAGTCATGTTCCCTTACTGTCGCATCAAACTCATTTAAATTTTAAGACATTCTATCCATTTTTCGTAGTCACTGATTATGCTGTCTATAAAACCATGAAGCTCCTTTGATGTATTTCTTCTTTTTTGTCATTACATAAAACTGATACGAGAGTAAACATCAGCGATCAAACTGGGTATATCGTTTTTTTTTCTTTTAATGGTTTTTCTTGTTTTTTTCTTAATGATTTTACTTTTTTGGAAATCCATTTTTTTTTTTTTTACCCCTCAGATTTCATTTAATTAGTTTAAATATCATCACTGTGGTGATAAATGAAAATTAGGGTGATATCTGAATTTCATTTTCTTACTGAGAAAATATCAGATACTGGACAAATTCATCCTTCATTGTACCCAACATTCCGCCACTGGTCTGAGAATGTTTAGTTACTCAGTTATGAATTTGTCCGAAATTATCCAAATTTAAATAATAAAGTATAAAGTATAAGTTAGTATCATGTATAAAAAAATATAAAGAAAATTAAGTAAAATAACTTCTCTTTATACAGTATATATGTTTAAGAACGAAGATATTGGGACAAACTCAATAATGAGTTCATCAGAAAATATAAAGTATAAAAAAGTAAAGCTTTTTTAATCAATTTATAGAAACTTATCTCATGTTTTTGACTCATTTAAAACTGGTATTGTAAAACCTGTAATGTGACTAGGTTGGGTTCTTACCCTCTTTAGGTAAACTATCATATCAGAAAACCCTGAGGATAGTTTCCATTTTGAGAAAATGACGATTTAATGTTTGTGAACCCTAAATTTTACTCCTGAATTTTTGTTTTTTTAGATACGTATAAATACTAAGCAAACAACATCATGTGATTATACATTTATTGGCAAAACTAAAATAATTGAACCTAGGTGCTACACAAAAAATGCGCGGATAATCCTCAATTTTGGTTAGCTAAGAGCAAATCAAAAATTTTGGCTGAATTACTCAAAATTTTACTAATGAAATCACAGCCGCCCATTAAGTGAAAATTGTTCCTGAGCTGATTTTAGCGTAGCGCAGGCCTATTTCTTTGGAAATTTCTATTTTTAGAATGAAAAAGTTAAAAAGTTAATTCCGGCCAGAAATAAGTAATTATGTAATGCGGGCCAAAATTTTGCAGATCCACGGCTACAAGAGTAGAATCGCTATCCAAAAAAATTTCTAAGGTCACGTGATGTTGATCATTAATCGTAATTGTTTCATATCGTAATTGTTTTATATTGTCA